ATCCCTTTATCATTAATAGTGCCCTTTTTTGTCTTTTAGCAAAGATTTTGATTTAAAGTCTGTTTTGTCTGGTATAAGTATAGCTACTCCTGTTCGCTTTTGTTTTTATTTGCATGGTGTATTATTCTGTTTCTGTTACTTATAACAAAATACCTGGAACTGTGTGATTTCAGTTTCAGAAGCTGGGAAATCCAAAGTCCAGGGAATACATCTGGTGGAAGTCTTCTTTGGTGGTGGCTTTATAGCAATGCAGGGGTCTCAGATAGGCAAAAATGGCAGAGCAGAAAAAGAGGGAAAGACTATCATACACTCTACTTTTAAAGCCCCACAACCATGCCCATGACCACCATTAAACCATCAACTTAATCATCTCTTCAAGGCCCCACCTTTCAATGACCATAATAGGATTTCCCACCCTCTGAGCATAGTCAGTGGGGGTTAAGTTTCTAATACATGGTCTTTGGGAACACAAATCAGTCTACTGTACCTGGAATATCTTTTTCTCTCCCTTCACTTTCAGTCTGTGTGTGCCTTTGTAGGTAATATGTGTTTCTTGTAGGCAGCATATGGATGGGTCATGTTTTTTAATCTATTCAGCCAGTTTATGTATTTTAATTGGAGCATTTAATCTGTTTACATTCAAAGTCATAATTGATACGTGAGGTCTTACTCCTGTCATTTTGTTGGTTATTTTCTGATTGTTTTGTGTACCTTTTGTTCCTTTCTTCCTTTCTTAATATGTATTCTTGTGGTTTGGTGGTTTGGTGTATTAATAAGGTTTGATTCCTTTCTCTTTCTAATTTAGATGTCTATGCTACTAGTAAGTTTTGTATTTTCAGGTTAGTTGTTATTGTTCTTTCTCTTCTACATGTAAGACTCCCCTAAGCATTTCTTGTAAGCCTGGTCTGGTTGTGATAAATTCCCTTAATTTTTTAATTTTTCTTGTCTGAGAAAGACTTTATTTCCCCCTCATTTTTGAAGGATAGCTTTGCTGGGTATAATATTCTTGGCTGGAAGTTTTTTTTCTTTCAGTACTTTGAATATATCATCCCATTCTCTCCTGGTAGGGTTTCTGCTGAGAAGTTTGCTGTTTGTCTAATGCGGATTCTCTTAAAAGTGACTTGATGTTTTACTCTTGCTGTTTTTATAATTCTTTCTTTGCCTTTAACTTTGGATAGTTTGACTACAGTGTGTCTTGGAGATGACATATTTCAGTTGAATACATTTGGGGACTTTTGAGATTCCTGGATTGGATGCTTTTTTTCCCCCTATCTTTCCCAAGATGAGGGAAATTTTCAGCTATTATTTCTTTAAATGGGTTTTCAATATCTTTTTTGTTTTCTTCTCCTTCTGGAATGCCCATAATTTGAATATTTTTTTCACTTAATAGTATCCCATAGATCTTCTAAGCTTTGCTCATTCTTTTTTCTTTTTCTTTTTGTCTTCCTGTGTTATTTCAAAACTGCTATCTTCAAGATCATAAATTTTTTCTTCTGCTTGATCTAGTCTGTTTTCTAGACTCTCAGATGTAGTTTTTATTTCATTCAACAGATTCTTCAATTCCAAGATTTCTGCTGGATTTTTTAAAATGATACTATCTCTCTGTTGAATTTCTCATTCAGATTGTGAATTGTTTTCCTGATTTTGTTTAACTGTTTGTCTATACCTCTTGTATCTCAGTGAGTTTCCTTAAGATCATTGACTTGAATTCCTTTTCTGGCAAGTTGGCAACTTCTGATTCTTTGGGATGAGTTAGTGGAGCATTACTTTGTTTTTTTGGTGGTCTCATATTACCTTCTATTTCATGTTTCTTATTTCCCTACATTGTTATCTGTGCATCTGGTGCACCAGTTACCTCTTTCAGTTTTGTGGAGTAGCTTCTGTGGGAAAAGACTTTCACTGCAAATGCATCTTAGTCTGTTGACTAGTAGAATGCAGTGGCTTCAGCATGACTGGGCTGTGTAGACTCTGTGTGGTTTCTTAGCTGTAACCCACTTTTACTATATCTATGAGTGACTCAGAAACCCATGCTTTGGAGGTTTGTGCTGGTGGTGGCACAGCTTTGCTGAGGGAGGTATTGCTGTGTTGGTTTATGGGCTGGGGGTGTGCACATACACCCTATAGGTCAGTCATCTCAGGAGCTAGCTCACTGGAGATATGATTGCTGGCGTAATTCTCAGTGTTTGGTATAGGTGTGAGTGTATGGCATGTCATGGTCTCTAGGACTGGTTTTCCAGTGGCAGGGTCACCATTTTGCTTCTCTGACCAGAGGTGGGCCTGCCGGGGCATGTCAGCCAAGTTGTTTCTCACTTGGACACATGTATGTGTGATGGCTTAAAAGACCGAGTGGTGAGTTTTCCAGGAGCCTGACAGCTGAGCTGTTTCTCTGAGTCAGGGACATATGTTGTGCTTTGGCTCAGCTAGCTGAGTGCAGGTCTGCTGGTGGCCCTTCTGCTGTGCCAGTTCTTAGTCCTCATGCGAGGTCTTGCTTTCCTCTGCTATTGAGGAGCTGACTGCCAAAGGCAGAGATGCTGAACTGCTCTCGGGAAGTGGGCAAGGCCACTAGGCAAGCCTGCAGTGAGGGGACCTGTCCAGCTGCTTCTGGGCCATGGGCAGGACGACTAGGCTGGCCTGCAATGAGCAAGCCAGAGCAGCTGCTTATGGGGCTGTCGGCAAGGCTTCTAAGCAGTACTTTTCAGGACAGAACTGCCTCACGACTTCTCTGGTAGGACATGGATACACTTTATTTCTACTGGCCCAAGGATGTAATTATTAGGATAGAGACCCATGAGCTGTTTTTCTGGGTTGGGGGCTCAGGTGCACACAACTCGGTTAGCCAGTGGGGATGGGGGTGGGGGAGAAGAGGGAGTGGTCTTCCTGAGGAGGGTTTGGCTGTCTGATCTCTGCCGGGAGACATGGGGATCCATCAGTTATGCAGGACTGGGGTTGGCTTCCCAGACTGCAGAACTAGAATCACAACCACTGTGAGCCCAGGCTTCAAGCCACAAGATCAGGGCTTTGTAGTCTCTCTTGTGAGTGCACTGGGTGAAGAGCAGAGCCCTAAGGCTTCAAAAGTGCTGTGGCTACTGACTCCAGTGCAGGGTGCACTCCCACAATGGCTCTGGTTTCAAGATTGTGCCATCCTGTGTCAGCTTGGGTTACAAAGGTGGGGGGTGGAGAGTACACAGTTTGTGCTAGTATTCTAGAGTGATGCAGTGTGTGTATTCTAGGCAACTCCCCACACTTGGCTCCTGGCTCGTCCTGCCATAGGATCTGTGGGCCTCTGTGGTGAGGTTGGGGGTTGGTGTGGGTCCCCTGCCTACCTTTTCTCCCCAAGGGAAAATTTTTCCTTACACTGATCCCAGTGTCAGAGACATGATAGCTGAGACTGTGTGCTTCTCTCTGCTTTCTGTGCTGCCTTCCTGAGTTTTTGTGCTCCACAGGGATCTCACCTGTCTCCTGCTGCACTCCTATGCTCTTTCATCAATGCTCCCATTGATATTTAGTAGTCTGTTGGTTGTTCTCATCCTTTTCTGTGGGAGGACTGTTCCCTGGGCACCTCTTGTCCACCATCTTGCCCCACCTCTCTCCAAGGGACAATTTCTATTGACTGCTTTTATTCTTAAATATGGGCAATATTAAATTAGTTGTCTGCATGTCTCATAATTGCTTATTGAAAAATGGACAATACCTGGGAATAGGTCAGAGAGCTTACCTTGAGGCTGGGATACGATAGGGGACTTGTAAATCTCTAACATATTCCCTATGGAAATCTCATTCCCCAGATTTTTCTCAAGATTTTTTTGTCAACATCTTGCTTGCCCCAACCTATATAAGCTCCTCAGGCAGCTACAATGTTAAACTGTTGTTGTTGGGTCGAGTAGTAACAATTCTCTGGTGATGAGGCTTCTAGGGGACACCAAACCTGTTCTGCTTCTCCTGAGGCTGCTAGGCTGCTGGTTTTCACAGCTACCATGATCGTGGGGCTGCTAATTTTCAAGGCTACCAAGGAGCTAGGGAGAGGGGGAGGAAAATAGGGTAAGTTAAAACGCCAGAATTACCACTGGGATTTCAAGACTTTACCTTTTTTTATTTTTTAAATAAAGCTCCTCAATTTGCTCCAAACTTTTGGTTAATTTCAAAAGCTCTGAAAATGTTTATTTTTGCTATATTTGTGAGTGTTCTCATTGCTTTTATAGAGGAACAGACTCTGGGAATCTTCTATTCCACCATTCCAGAAGTGCTTACCCCACTATACCTATATTTTTTAAAGATTTCCACATGCATCTAGTGTGAAGTCAGTATTGAGAACAACTAAGTCTCTTACCCTCCTTCATAGGCTCTCTAAAATCCCACATAGCCACATAAGTTGCAACATGAGTATCAAAGACTTGCAGTTCTTTAGTGCTTTAGAAAAATGATACATACATTTTCATATGAATAAGTTGTTAAGTACCTTTTCTACCTTCCTTGTCTACTAAGTCTAAGCCTTTTCCTTTATTGCTATATAAATTATATTTATAATTAATTATATCTGTCAGTGGAGTTAAGAACATTAGCATGACTGGGCTGTGTTGTTCTTACCCTAAATTGTGTGTGTGTGTGTGTGTGTGTGTGTGTTTTCTGCTACCCCATGTTAGCACTAAAGTTTTCTCACACATTCACATGCACATAACTAGCTGTATCTATAAAAAAAAGTCTTAGTCCCCACTTAAAATATTATCTTCTCTGATTTAATACTGTGAGCTAATCCACCTGCCCCAGAATGTCTGTGCTTCTCTTTCTCTACAAAACAAGAAGAATGACAGTTTTTGAGAGGATTGGGTTTGTTGTTTGTTTTAGCATGAGGAGGCACTCTGTATAACCTTTTTAAAAATTCTGGCATTTTCTTATTGTTGCTAGTATTATGCTGTTAAATAGGTAGGCCTTGAACTGAGAAATGTCAATGCATTAGAATTGCATTGCTGAGAAAAGCACCTGGACTTTGTCTTCCCGTTCAGATGAGGAACACACCACTGAGCACACGCCAAACCACCACATGCCTCAGCCCCCGCAAGCAGTATTCCCAGCATGCATCTGTGCAGCGGTGCTGCCCATCGTGCATCTGATGGAGGATGGGGAGGTGCGCGAAGATGGAGTAGCAGGTACAGTTTTGACCAGTCAAACCATCCCATGGAGGACAGTAGGTTGCTCTTGAACACATGATCTATTGACCATATGTTGAGTTGCTTTATATACATATTATAATTGTAGATTTGTGACACACTGTACTAACACTATCGCTTTCCACGCCTCCTTTTCTCACTGCTTTTATGATCAAGAAATTGCATTTAAAATAGGCAGTTGGGTCTAGGAGCACAGTTTATGACTAGAAAACAGAGCAACGCTTATGTGGCCACATGGAAAGCAAACAGTGACTTTGGCTACCTTAGAAATTTTAGCTGTTAGCTTGACACCACCCATGCCTTCTTTCTCACTTGCCTTTCCAGAGATACCACCTACAGCGAACAACTACAAAATGAAATGATAAAGTAGGGGTAGAGATGAGTTACATTTGTTACAGACAAGAGGTTAATATTCTTGATGTTATATAAAAAAAGCTCTTATAGCTCAATAATGATTCTTAAAAACCCCAATAGAAAAATGGGCAAAAGACATAAACAGACAATTCAATGACCAATAACACCTGTAAACAGCACTGTTACTTTAAACAGTGATATCTTACATTTCAGCTACCAAATTACAAAATTGGCAAAGATTATTTTAAATGAAAATACCTACAGTTAGTGAAGAAGCAGGGAAAAGAGCATTCTCACACCTTGCTGATGAAGTATAAAAATTCGTGTAAGCATTCTGGAGCAAAGTTTCATGATATGTATCAGAAAACTTAAAAGCATGAAAACTCCTTGACATATTTGACTTCTAGCAGTTCCTAAGGCAATAATGAGAGCTATACAAAGGTTTATACAGGACATTGTACACTGAACATTACTTAAAATAACAAATATTTGGAAAGAGTTTTAATGTTCAACAGCAGGCAGTTAATCATGGTACCAGCACATGATAGAATTCTGTGCTCATTAGAAATTGCATTCCCAAAGAATATTAACATAAAAAGTGTTCAGTATATCACTAAGTAAAAAGCTGAGAAACAAAGAATATTTTCTATATACTATTTTAAAATTACAAGTAAGTATATAGGATATTTCATGTATATGAAAGGACATAATCTAAACTGTTAAAAATTGTTTATATTATTGGTGGGCTTACTAGTCTTGTTTTTCCCTTTGTGCTTTTCTGTATCTTCCATGTTTTAAGAAATAAACTACATTACTTGAGCAGTTAGAATAAAGATAATATTGCAAAAATATTTTTGCAACCAGTTTCAACCGAATAAAAATCTGCACCTATTTTATTTATAGAGATAGACACATGAAAGTTAAAGCTTATATTTATATATTTTTGTTAATATTATTTATATAGCTCTTAATTTTAATTGGATGGTTAGATTCTGAAGCAAAAATTGGTATTATTTATTCAAAATGTAGGTTGAATGATAAATGCATGCTAAATTCTATATTCCTAGTTTAGAAAACTAATGAATTGAGAAAATCCATTCAGGCTGAAGATCATACAGTTTTTACCACTGCTCCTTTTTACCCACCTGCTTTCTTACCCTGGCACCTCCAGCCAATCTTAGCCTGACCACCTTCCCCAAAGACAACATAGCACTTTATTTCTCATTAGGATTATTTATTCCTAAGACTTCCTCATTAGTAGTGGGAGTCTAATTATTACTGGTTCAACTATTTTATCTTGCTTAAGGAGATAATATTTAAAGCATTTGTGTAGACAATAAAAGATCATCTTTAATTTATGTGCATTCTAAACCAAAACATATTTTTAAAAACCGAATAATTATTTTGGGAATTTTTCAATAAGCAATGAAATATGACTTCAGTTTAATAAATACTCACCACTGCTAATATGAGGGTGATTTCCACAACAAAAAAAAACTGCATATATTCACAAAGGTATTCTTTGCCAAAGCAATGCTAATACCTAAAGACTATCCTCCACGTTTTTGTTACCTTTTCTTTCTGTGTGAAAATGTTCAGAGACAACAACAAAGAGAAAAATATATCCACCTTTCGACAGAAAAAGAGTTTACAAAACTATTTTAAGGCAAAAAGGAGGCATTAACATTTAGTCCATTGTTGAATACTTTATCTGATCAACTTATCTCCATTTAAGACAAATGTTTGATTTCCTTTCTCTTCTAAAGTGAGTGCTGTGGCCCAGCAAGTCTTATGGAATTGTCTCATTGAAGATCCATCAACAGTTCTTCGACACTTTCTGGAAAAACTGACCATCAGCAATAGACAAGTAAATTCCTCTCCTTTTATGGTGTAGCTGTTAGCTAGGAGTATGAAAACTGTTAAAAGCAAGTAAAGGACATCACAGTGCTGTGCATGCAACATCAATGTCCCCTGATACATTGCCATTACGTACTTTTTAAATAATGATAACAGTGAGGACTATTTAACCTTGCTGTTTTCTTTCAAATTTCTCCATTATATGATGTCACCATATGTGTGTGGTATATTGCTGGTGATGACTCTAAGATACCTCAAGATACTCAATCTTTCACACAGAGATTAAATTCAGTGTAATGTTCTTCGTATTGGACACATTTATTGAATTCTGATTACTGGGCAGTCCAATTATTAGAGTATGTTAAAACTCTTCCATTAATCAAAAATCTAATTTGCCAGACCAACCTGTAAGAAGATTATGCCAAATAAAAGTACTTTTCTGAGCAATGGCAAAATACACTGATGATTAAAAATTATATGTTTATTTAATGTTATAGTCATATTCGCTGGAAGATTTAGTTTCTGAAAAGTAAGGTTAACTACAGACATCTCGATTTACCCTATCTTTATTTCTTTGACTCAAAACTCAAGAAGCAGAATTGTGAAGTTCCAAAAATCTGGTTTGTTTAATAGTTTCTCAATATACACTCTCCTCTCATTCCCATCACACTGGCAGCCATGGCAAATAGAGTTAATGAAATATATGGCTTCCCTGTAATTTGCCTGTGACCTACACACACGGTGTTCAGTTTTGTTTTTTTTTAAATGGTAGTTGTCTGACTACTACTCAGTGATTTTTATATGTTAGCTCCTAAGAGAAAGAGTTCCAGATGGTCCAAATACTATTAAACGAGTATCACATATCCTATATTAAAATGTTGAACATAATTGAAATCAACATGTGGGCAAAAGTAAGCAAAATCCCCCTCTACTTTACAAAAAGTTAATCTTATTTTCTACAGCATACCAGCTGAACAAGACAGTAAAAGTTCTGTTTCTCTTTCAGGATGAGTTAATGTACATGCTGCGCAAACTTCTTTTAAATATTGGAGACTTTCCTGCCCAGACATCTCACATCCTATTCAACTACTTGGTAAGTTTTAGCAACCAGTAGGTTATAAATGTTCATTTCCACATAGGAAGCAGCAGCATGAGAAAAAGATCTTAAATTTTTTTCATTAAATTTCCATTGATTATGTGACTGAAGGTGAATCATAGTCAGCTAAATTCAGCACTTTTTGTATAGGAAAGTCCCTGCCAGGCACAGTCGTTGGCGTATGGTAGGCACTCAATAAATGTCAATATGCAATATTGCAACCTCCTTTTGTTGGTTCTTAATTTCATTTTTCTCTTGAGAAAACCCATGTGTCATTTTTAGTCATTTTTTCCCCTTTTCCTAGCTCACTGTTTAAACACACATGCACGCTCACACTCAACACAGAGACAAGTGTTGCCCTGGATGGAATGTATTTATGAATGTATTTTTCCATGGCAACTGTCTATGCTTTAAACCACCCTGATAGCTCTTTCCTGAGCCCTCCAGTATTTACCAGTTTCTTCACATTCTCTTCCTCACACCCCAAATGAATGAAGATTTGGTGTTCAGTTTGAGGACTGGGATGTGATGTCTACTCTTTGAAATTGACACTTAATCCCTGCAGACAAATAGCCAAATTAATGTCCATGCTGGGAGAACTCCTTCTTTCTCCCTTACTATCATCATGGGAATAGTTATGAATGTGCATATGCATCCCTAGCAGGGTGATAAATTTAACTCACACCACAACCTCGATGTGCAGAGGAAATTTGTAATTCCTTTCTCTTGTCTATGACTAATTTGGTCATCTTCCTTCTAAGTGCCTACTTGCTGGTTGGCAATAGAAAAAATATGAATGGGTCCAATCTAGATTTAAGTTCAGACTGATACAAAAATATAAACAGTACTTTTGAGTAGTGTTCAGTCTCTCTTGGATAAAAATACTTAGTGTCCAGGAATTTTCCTCCTTTCTCACTGCCTTTGTCTCTAGAACTATGTAGAGTTGGGAGGAAAAAGACCTTTGTTCCATGTTTTATCCCTTGTATTTCCTCTGGCTGCTCCATTTGTGAGACAGTGTTCTTGGTCAGGCAGGTTGCTGGATGCCTGGACAAAAGCCCATGCTGCTGTAACTCAAGGCCCCCACAGTGTTTGCTGGGATGCTCAACCTCACCACAGCTCCTGCTGGTGCTGTTGCTCCCCCTGATTTCTGGCCATGAGTTCCATATGGCTCCAGCATAGGAAGTCCCCTGGCTAGAGCATCCTGCTCAGTGACACCAACCTATAGCAATTCTGTCTGGAATGCTCTCCAGCCACGCATTCCACTATTTCTGTGTCCTGTTCACATCACACAAAAACCGAAGGTGGATTGGCAAGACCAAATATCAGGGCCCCCCTCAGTTTAGGTATGTTCCCTGCCAAGTTTACATTGCATCAGGTTGGTACGGAAAGGCTCTTCAGTGAACTCCTGTCAGCAACCCAAGCAGGGACCAGAGGCAGGAGCCCCTTCAGTTGCTGTGTGCCTGTCCATTCCGCCAGGTCACTAGAGAAAAGATATGCTTATCTAGATCATTGCTTTCCTCCATGCTTTAGCTCTGCAACAAGAAGATCTGGTGCTCAGATAGTTTTAAGTGAATAACTCCAATCCTCAGCTTACAAACATGCACTAACACTTCTTGAGCATGTCTGCCATCTTGGTCCCCATTCTCCTACTGCACCCAGGAAGGTCCACCCCTACTCCATCATAGCTCACCAGGCTGCATTGACAGGCATATGAGACAGAGAAAGAATCTGAAGTACTGTGTTAGTTTTAAGGAAGCCTCCTTTCTGATCAAGGCACTTTACACTTATAGGACTTCCTACTTTTTCTTATCTTTTATAGATTTTTGTCCAGGGTGAGGCTTGGCCCTCATTAGGGTGTTTGGGTTAGTGACCCAGATTCTTTCAATGTAACTGTAAAATTTTCCAGGACTACCAAATTTTTGGAGAGGAGGGCATAAAACATTTATTTGTATTATTTCTTTATGATTTTGTTGTGGATTATTGAGTAAGATAGTTAAAACTTATGTAATCAAATGTTCCAATTACAGTCTGTCCTCATCTTATTCCAATGTATAGAATGTTTAACATACTCTACCTCCTATTAACAAAAAATAAATTTATGATGAGATATTCTAAATGTCAGCTTACCACATAGATATGTACAGTCAGTACATGTCAATAAATGAATGAATGAATGAATGAATGAATGAATGAATAAATAAATAAATAAATAAAATAGAGCAGTACTCTATCCTGCCAAACCTAGAGTACCACCAGGGACTTTGAAGGAATTGCAGAATTTATAAGCTATGGCTCTCCTGAACTCATTAAAAATTATTGTAGGAGTTAAATAAAACAAAATAAAATGTTCAAACAGGCACATGATTTTTCAAAATGATTTTAGAGGGTGTGCAAACAAAATTTTGAAGTTCACCAACTTAGCCAAGCAGAGAGCACTGTTAGGTTCAGACTATTAGACATAAGCAAAGCTGCAAAGTGTTTGGGGGCAAACTTCATATACAGATTACCGTTGGATGGCCTATGTTACCTGAGCTTCCAAGTGACATGGTACCTGGAAAAAATGTTCTTCTGAAGAATTAGCCATTTTAGTGATACATAAAAATGTACAGCAGCCTGTTCGGTCAGTTTTCCAGTCATGCCCTCTCCTGGCTACTGTCCCAAAAATGTTGCAGAAGCATTTGAACAGAGAACACGAAGGCACAGAAAAAGATTTAATTAAAAAAAGAAAAAGAAAGGGGAATGTGAGCTTAGGGTTATTGAGGCTTTGTGAACTCTTCTTGTTGTGACTTTCAGGTGGGGTTAATCATGTACTTCGTGAGGACCCCCTGCGAATGGGGGATGGACGCCATCTCAGCCACACTGACGTTCCTGTGGGAGGTGGTGGGGTACGTGGAGGGCCTCTTCTTCAAGGATCTCAAGCAGACGATGAAGAAGGAGCAGTGTGAGGTGAAGCTCCTGGTGACCGCTTCAATGCCAGGTAATGCACTACTGCTGCTGGATGACACGACTTTTTTTTTTAACATTATAAATAGCCCTTTGAAAGACCAAGAGCCTCTTTCATTCATGAGAAAATTTTCAGACTTCTAACCCCTAGTGTGGAGTGCTTCAAAGAATTTTTGTTTAATACAATCAGAAGAAATACAATAGACCCTTTAAAAAGTCAGCAGTTGCCAGATGAAAAGGGAGACATCAGAACTGAGATCTGCATGAATCAGTCCTTGAAGGGCTGCCAAGGTTGAAGATTTATTAAAGTCCATCATAGAGGGCCCGCTGAACTGAAGGCCTTTTTGAGTGAATTTTTGGCACTGCAAGGAGAATAATATTGTTCTCATGGCATGGATTCCAGTCCTTTGTAATCTCAGTGAGAGACGGCTTTATGAAAAATTGGAAAACGGGAAAGCAGGAAAGAAGAATTACAAAAGAAAGTGAAGTGTGAGGTAAACTCTAGATACAGTTCCTTTTCACTTCAGATAGCTTGTTTTTCCTTAAGACAAAGACTTTTCCAAGCCTTTATCTTTGTGCAGTGACTTATGAAAATATGAAATGATACTTGTATTGAAATAAAGAGACAAACTTCTGTGCAAATGAGAACACAGGCTCTGGCAGCCAAGAAGCCTGTGTTAAAATCATAGCCCTGCCATATATTAGCCTTACAACTATTTTAGCTGTGAAAAAGTACATTATTTTTCAAAGCTTTCCTTCCTTATGCATAAAATAGGGATACAATTCATACTTCGCAATCATGAGGAATAAATAAGTTTAGGTATGCAAAATTCTTGCTGCTGTGCCAGATCATAATAAGAAATGGTAGTTGTATACTTACATGTTCTATAGATTATCTAAAAAAGTGATCAGTTTTTTATTATAGCAGAGAAACTCATATTGTCACTCATACACTGAAAAACTCATTAAAAATCAAGGTAGGTCATAATGTTCACAAAGATTTGTAATTAATAAGTGAAACAGAATAAATACCATCTCAACCAGCCAAAAAGAATTCAGAAAATGTAAATTTAAACCACATTTTAGGTGCTTGTTTTGGTTTTGCTAGTATCTCTGTACTCCTCAGCTGTTACTGTGTGAACATCATCTCATCTGAAATACAGGCGTGTATTACTTGCTGCAATGCTTGAGGTTTGAATTCTGACTCTTCTGCTAAAAATAGTTTCTCTTTGAATAAGATATTCGATTTCTCTCTGTTTCCTCATTTGTAAGATAAAAATGATAACAACTATATCATGGGGTTGCTGTGAGATTTAAATATGATTATTCAGGTAAAAGGCAAGCAAAAGTATTGGGAACTCCATAAATGGTAACTGTCATTATTTAAAAAGTGAATATATTTTAATATACATTTAATTATAAATAAAGGAAGGCAATTAGTGCAATATGCATATCACATTAAGCACAAAATAATAATAATAATCAGTAACAGTAAAAACATCAGCTTATTAATAGCGTTTTATGCTTTAAATATAAACTTTCCTATAGTAGATATGAGGTTTTTTTATTTTTACCTTCTATAGGTACCAAAACCTTGGTAGTTCACGGACAGAATGAATGTGATATCCCAACCCAGTTACCAGTCCATGAAGACACTCAATTTGAAGCTCTGTTGAAGGTAGGAATGACTTATGACAGAAATGATTTTGTATGCACAATGCCTATGGCCACCTTACTGAACATCCATTTTGTAATTAAATGGTACATTTCTATTTTCAAATGAATATGTACATTTCTTTACTCTTTCCACTATTGTGCACTTATGCTATTTTCTTGCAAAATTTTTCCCACTTTTACTGATGCTTTAGCTTTATAATTGAAGTAGGCAAAATCAGGTTCTATCTTGGTTGCAGCAGGAGATTGGCACTCTGGTATTATTCCAGACTCCTCTTGGGATGCTGTGAATTCCTGCTTAAGAGCCTCCTCATTATCACTTATGGTCATTCAGGAGGTGCCCTGGGTTTGTCCACTGGCAGCACTGGGGCAAACTCTAGCTGTCAGTTGATGATCCATGCCATAGACCTTTGTTGCATCTAGTTGAATGATATACAGTCCTGACTTGCCATTGTCAGCAATTATTGTAGAAGAAGAAAATATATACCTTAGAATAAATGAGGTGAGGAGGCTGGCCAGATAGCTCAGTTGGTAGAGCATGGTCCTGATGATGCCAAAGTCAAGGGTTTGGATCCCTATATTGGCCAGCCACCAAAATAAATAAATAAATAAATCAGATGATTCATAAAAGTATTTTCTAGTAGTTATGGCAATGATTCCCTTCAAAAGAAATGCAATCCATTGCTACATGCGCCTATGTGGTTTTTAAGGTAAAGTAATAAGAAAACAAGTAAAGTGATTCCCCATTTGTCTGAAGTCCAAACTTTCAGTAACCTAATTTTCTGGAACAGAGCTCAGGGCCCAGATATAAGTAGAAAAGGCCTCTGAAAAATTCAGCTTTGCCAAACTTGTGTACTTTATATTAGTAGACAGACTCATTCTACTCCAGATGTCTCCAGAGAATTTTCTATGACCCAATGAAGCAAACGTCAGCAACCACTCTGTTTTTATACTCATGTTGTATGGTAAGATGGCACGAAGGCAGTGTGTTCACACCCTGACTCCACCATAATCAGTGTCACCTAAATCAAGTGACAGGACCTCTCTAGTCTCAGTTTCTTTTTCAACAGTACTGGGATACTATTTCGGGTTATACATGTTATCTGCATGAAAGACACTGAAACTGTATAACATATAATAAATGCTCAGTGAATCACAGTTTCTATTCTTAATGTTACTAAATGTGTTTTTTTTTTCCCTGATATCTAGACCAGTAGGTGCCACTGTGTTTCCACAGTTCATTACTCAGTCTGAATTATAATCACACATCTTTTGGCCACTATGGGAGCAGACAGATTATATTACACTATCAGTCTTTATTATATCATTCTCTGGATAATTCTCTGTGTATGTATATATTCATATATATACATATATAATATATAAAATATATGTACAATATAAATATATATACAATCCTTATAGGAAGTTACCTTGTTTTTTCGATATTTATTTCAAATTACTACCTAGCACATAATATGTTCTTGATAAGTATTTATTAAAATTTCCTATTACTGTTCCAGGAGTGTCTGGAGTTCTTTAATATCCCAGAATCCCAGTCAACACATTATTTCCTCATGGATAAACGATGGAACCTTATCCACTACAATAAGGTGAGACTGTGCAGTAATGGCACAGATGTTGAGTTTGTCAAAGGCTCGTCATGCCCTTCCTGAGAGCAGCTCAAGGTCAGGCAGTCAATGTCATTTAGAAGTTAACAGCCTGGCCACTTGGGTCACCCCACCTTACTGTCTGTATAGCTTTAGACTAACCACTTTACCTTCCTACCTTCCTTGTCTATAAAATAAAGATCATGATAGTAGTATCTACACTAAGACAGTTATAATAATTAAAAGAAATAAGCCAATGAAGGCAGTTAGTTATTCATCATTATTACACCTAAGCGAAAAATTAAGTTGCCCATATAATAACTATGTGTGTCTATTTGAAATTTTAATGCTGTTCTGATTCTCTTTCCTATTCTGTTAAACATACCCATGGATCCAATGAGCAAAAGGGGACCTCAGTACAACCACTGACAACACTTTCCAGTGACTTTTTTCTTCCAGAGTGTTGTTTAATAAATTGCCTTTGCCTCCTTAGCTTCAGACATAGCAACTTAGTACTTGGAAAGGGTGCTAAGCCTGGGTGATTTGAAGCTTTCCTGAGAAGGGGTTCACCTTTTCTGTGGAATTAGGGAGCATAACGGTAGTAAGAAACAAAACCAGTAGAAAATAAACAAACATCTTTGTCAAACTGTTGAAGAAAGAGTAAATGGGAATAAAAAATTTAATCATTTGAACTCCTTTTTTTCACATTGTATAATCCACCACAGACCTATGTCCGAGATATTTATCCTTTCCGGAGGTCAGTATCTCCACAGCTGAACCTCGTACATATGCATCCAGAGAAAGGACAAGAGCTCATTCAGAAACAGGTATCTGACCACTTCAGTTTTATTCTTTGGTTTTATCATGTTGTTGGGATGGATAATCTGTAAATGTGTTGCCAACCCTAAGATTCTGTGATTCCTTTATGATTCTCCCTAGAGTGAATGGATGGCCATTGCTAAATAGATTGTTCCCTAAAATAGTGCATTAAGTTTTATAAATTGGATCAGTGTGAAGGTATTAAGAAACACACACTTGCAGTAATGCTATGATGAGTCATTGGGTATAAATGATAGAAATCTTCTAATTTATTTACCTACTTATTTCTAAGCATGGATTTTTATTTCACATTTTTGTAAAACAAGATTGGAAGTACACATAATGTAGCTGTTAGAAGGTTATTCCAGAGGTTTATACTCGCTGGAAAAAAAGTAAAAGGGGTCAATGTAGTAGGCCTTAAAAAAAGCATTGAACTAAGGTCCAGAGATTGGACTTGGTCCCAGTTCTGCCACTGACCAGGGATCTGACATTGAGCATGTTACTAACTTCTCTTAAAACAGGTAGAGGCATAATCAAGCAGTGTACTTAGATTTAAGATTGAAGAGCAGAATAATGTTCACATAACCCATCTCAAATCAGACTTTGAGCTTAAGGAGAGTCTCTATTCTGCATTCAAAATTTCAGGATATTTGATCATTTCAATTTTTCTGCACATATCAAGGATGCTAATTTGGAATCAAACTTTTAAAAACTATCTTCACAAGATGAATGAGAATGGCATAGAATACACAACTTAAGTAATAAAAAATATAGCTACCATTAACTACCTAAATTGCATTTAAAAGGAAGAAAATACTGAATGTGTTGCAAAGTGTGAGGTGTTATGCAAAACTGTAAGATTTTTTTTGTGCAAAACTCAGGCCTAAAGGGGCACCAATCTAGGGCCCATCAGCTTTTCTCCTGGTTCCCATTTTAGTCTTTTTTAAAAAAAGAAACAAACCCAGAGCTGCCAGAAAACAGCTTACGGCATCACAGCTTAAGGCATCTGTGGAAATGGTAGAAGCAGTTGGAGCTGGCTGACTGGCTCCTGTCAAAAAAAGTCTTCCATATTGTGACATCCAGACAGATGAGCTCTGGTTAATTTTGAACTGTCCTGACAGTGCTTGCTTTGTGCTCCTCCAGCCCTAAGAAACACTTCCCTCTGTGGTGCAGACAGAGCAGGGAGTGAGAGTCAACTAAGCATTGTTTGCTCTTTCTGTGTAGTAAAGAGAAAAACATTTCTCCCTCATCTCACTTCTCCCTGTATTATCTGATCAGCCTGATTTGCCATTAAAGATTTAATTCAATTTTTTCACTGTATAATTGCAGAAGTTCTTGATTCTTATGTTTGTCTGCTCCTACTTCCATTTTCTGCTAGGTGTTCACTCGGAAGCTGGAGGAAGTGGGGCGGGTGTTGTTTCTCATCTCCCTAACCCAGAAGATCCCCACAGCCCACAAACAGTCCCACGTCTCCATGCTCCAAGAAGACCTCCTCCGACTGCCTTCCTTCCCTCGCAGTGCTATTGATGCTGAGTTTTCACTCTTCAGTGATCCTCAAGGTATCAAGCGAGAAAGAAGCATGTCCTCTCATGGGTTTTTTCTCACACCATTGTTTTGTTCTCAACTGGGGAGCATTTAAATCAGCAGATAGTTCCATGAGCTGGTGGTCCTCAAAACGGAGTGTGCATTAGAATCACCTGGAAGACTTGTTAAAACACAGATTGCTGGGCCCCACCTCCCCCTCTGAGTTCCAGGATAGAGCCCAAGAACTTGCATTTCTAACAAGTTTCCAAGTGATGCTGATGCTTCTATTCCAAGCAGCCAACTTTGAGAACTGCTGCTCTGAACTAATCAGTAGCAGTTGAACGAGCCAGTGTGGAGTCAGGGGAGGGGAGACTTGACTAAGCAAAGAACAGGTATTTATATGAAGTTCAAAATGAGGCAAAGCTAATCCAGGGTGACAGAAATCAGGACAGTGGTTGCCTCTGGGTTGGGAGGGAATGAATCTCCTGGAAGGGGGCAGGAGGGAATTTTCTGAGGTGATGAAAATTGTCTATACATTAATTGGGCGTTATTTACATGAACATGTATTTCTGTCAAAGCTCACTGAACTCTGCATTTAACATCTGTACGTTTTACTCTAAATTATACCTGAACTGAGGGAGATTGAGACAGAGACAGAGAAATGGAAAGAGACCTACTTTGGAAAATCGCTCTTACTCAGCTATGAATTTGGGACATTTTACTTAAATTATCATTCCTATGCCTCAATGTCCTCATCCAGAAGCTACAGAGCAATAGAACAAAGAGCTCTAGTCTGACCAGTAATTAGAAGACCAAGCACTAGTCCCAGCCCTGCCATTTTCTGGCTGAAATAACTTATTTTTCTCAAAGCTACAGCTTATTTAGCAGCAAAACCCTGCAAATGCCTGCCCTGTCTTGCCCACAGAGTTATTTCAGAGAGATGGTTATGAAAGTCCTTTGAGAACTAGGAAGTGCTATGCCAGCAGTGTTGTGCTGGAAAGCATTTCAGCAGTAGATCTTCACATCCCGAGTTGGAACAAATGCAAAACAGCAGCACCCTCAGGTCTGATCGCGCTCAGGCTGACAGGATTGGTGTGGGGCTAATTTTATCTCTGCTGCTTCATGTTCTCACAGCTGGGAAGGAACTGTTCGGCCTCGACACGCTTCAGAAAAGCTTGTGGATCCAGCTCCTGGAGGAGATGTTCCTGGGCATGCCAAGCGAGTTTCCCTGGGGTGATGAAATCATGCTATTCCTCAACGTTTTTAATGGGGCTCTGATCCTGCACCCAGAAGACAGTGCCCTGCTCAGGCAGTATGCTGCCACCGTCATCAACACCGCTGTGCATTTCAATCACCTCTTCTCTCTCAGCGGCTACCAGTGGATTCTCCCCACCATGCTTCAGGTGCCCGGAATCGCCTCTTTTACCCAGAAAATTAACCTGAGCACTTCTCATGTCTAGCAGTTCAAAAACATCTATACTGAAACTTTTTAATGACTTCTTTTGTGACAACAGAAGGCTCCAAATGAAATATCCGTACAAATTTCCAAGTGTTCACAGTATTCCACTCTCCAAACCAAAAGTGTTGTCCCTGAACCAGCAGCATCAGCATCACCTGGGAACTTGTTAGAAATGCAGATTCTCGGGTCCCACCTCAGACCGAGTGAATCAGAAATTCTGGGTCAGGGGCCAGTAATCTGTGTTTTTGTTGTTGTTGTTGTTGTTTGTTTTGTTTTGTTTTGACCGATAAGGGGATCATAACCCCTGGCTCAGTATTGTCTGCACCACACTCAGCCAGTGAGCGCACCGGCCATCCCTATATAGGATCCAAACCCGCGGCCTCAGCGTTACTGGCACCGCACTCTCCTGAGTGAGCCACGCGGCCGGCCCAGTAATCTGTGTTTTCAACAAGACCTCCAGGTGGTTCTGGCCCCCTAGAAAGTTCACGAACCACAGGTTTTAAGTGAAAACTATGGCAAGTGTTCAGCTGATGTGTCTCCCAAGAGATTCTTTGACCAGAGATTTTCATTGCCACTAAATTTGCTGTGAAAGGATTGGAGGAAGTGAATGTAGCAGGAACAATTTACTCATGTATAATGTGTGTCTGGTTACATTTAAGAGTACTGAGTAAAATTCAGGTAGGACCTGGGGGCTTATCCTAGTTCTCTATTTTCAGGGAAGTTTTAGTAAAAATTATGAATATAATACATGTTTGTGCAAAGTAGAGTTTTTTTACCAATTACCAAAAGCAGTTATGCTGATTAAAAAATTCAGAAGATATCAGATCCCCATACTGGCCAGCTGCCAAAATTTTTTTTTAAATAATAATAGCATTTCCTTAAAAATTCAGAAGATAAATAAATTTTACAGAGAAAATAAAGATCACCCATAGTCTTCCCTCCTGGATAACCTTTATTTACATTTCTTGAAAATCTTGGTATTCTCTCCTATAGACATACACACATACACGTACGCACTCTCTCTCTCTTTTTTTTTTTCGTGTCCGGCAACGGATCACAACCCTCAGTGTCGCGCCCATACCGGACCAGGACTGGCAACGGGATCACAACCCTTGGTGTCGCGCCCACACCTCGCTCAGCCAGTGAGCGGGAACCGGTCTGTATGTGGGATCCAAACCCTCGGCGGGAGCGCCGCCGTGCTCCCAAGCGGTGCACTGTAGCAGTGCACCACCAGGCCAGCCCAACACTCTCTCTTTTTTAAAAAAACAAAAGTTGGATTAAACCATATATTCAAGTTTGTAACCTGCTCTTTTCATGTAACACCAAGAATTTTTTTTTTTTTTTCCCTTTTTGTCTTTTTTACTGACCAGTAACGGGATTGCAACCCTCAGTGTCGTGCCCGTACCAGGGACCGGCAACGGGATCACAACCCTCAGTGTTGCGCCCACACCACACTCAGCCAGTGAGCGGGAACTGGTCTCCACATGGGATCCGAACCCTCGGCGGGAGCGCTACTGCGCTCCCAGGCGGCACACTCTCCAGTGCGCCACCGGGCCGGCCCGTAACACCAAGAATATTGTGGGCATTTTTTTATGTAGCTACATTTAGCTTTACAGCATCTTTATAAATGCCTGCACAGTATTCCATTGTTTGCACATACCATAATTCACTTATCCAACCACCATTTATGAATAATTTAAGTTGTTTCAAATTTTACACTGTTATAAACAATTTTACAGCAGGTATTCTTGTATATACATCTGGTACATTTGTCCAGTTCTTTCCTTGAGATAAATTCCTAGTCACAAACTTCCTGGGGAAAAGTATACTTAAATTTTTAGAATTTTTGTCTATATTACTGTACTAGTCCATTTCTTTTTTTTTTTTTTTTTTTTCTTTTCTCATGACCGGTAAGGGGATTGCAACCCTTGGTGTGGTGTCGCCCACACCGCGCTCAGCCAGTGAGCGCACCGGCCATTCCTATATAGGATCCGAACCCACGGCAGGAGCATCGCTGCGCTCCCAGTACCGCACCCTCCCAAGTGCACCATGGGGTTGGCCCCATTTCTGTTGCTTATAACAAAATACTTGGGACAGGGTAATTTATAAAGGAAACGAAATTTATTGCTTATAGTTTCTGAGGCTGGAAAGTCCAAAGTCCATCTGGTGGTGGTGACAGTGACCCAGGAGTCTCACATTGCAAGATGGTGGAAGCAGAGAGAGCAGAGAGAGAGAGAGAGACTTTCTTTTCTCTTCTTTTAAAACCCTCAGAACCACACCCCTGACCACCATTTTTAATCCATTTACTACTGCATGATCCTACAATCTAATCACCTCTTCGAGGCTCCACTTTTCAATTACCATAATAGGATTTCCCACCCTCTTAACAGTCACAGTGGGGGCTAAGTTTCTCATACATAAAACTTGGGGGAAAAATTCAAACTCAGTGAGTTTTGGGGGGACATAATTCAATACATTGCAATTGCCAAATTTCTCTTGAAAGAGGCTTTGCCATTTTACACTCCTTTCCATCATTTTTTGAAATTAGCCATTTCCCTCCATACTTTCCATGGCTGAGTTTTAAAAGCAAATATAACTTTGATACTTTGTTAAGGCATTTCTGAATATTTTCCCATAGGTGTATTCGGACTATGAAAGCAATCCCCAGTTGCGTCAAGCCATCGAATTCGCCTGCCACCAGTTCTACATTCTGCACCGGAAGCCCTTTGTGCTCCAGCTGTTTGCTAGTGTGGCGCCTCTCCTGGAATTTCCTGTGAGTAAGCTCGGCGGAAATAAATGAAGACCAACCAAATAAGAAAAGCAAAAGCTATCTATTCAGAGCTTGCTATAGCAAGGGAGTCAGCCACCATCACTTTTGCCATGGCAGAGACACAGAGGCAGATGGAGGAGTAGGAAAGCTTCATAGGGGAAAAAAGGGAACCTACAGGTATGCCCTGATTAGAAACTGTTGGCCTGGGGAAGCTGTATGTGGGCTGGCTAGGAGTGGAACAACTTATGTAATTGGTTAGGGGTATATATTTGGCTTTCTCTGGTTGGTCCTAAGTTGGAAGCAGTGACAAAAATTAGGGAAGCTATCAGTTATTAATCAAGTCCTGGCCATTTTAGGCCAGTTGTTACAGGGGTTATTGTTTGACTTGCACTAGAGCTAGTGGTCTGACTTCTTACAAGCTTGACTCACATCAGGCTGGCTTCCTGGCCTGGTTATTGTAGACAAGGGGTTGGCTTTCTGGGCAGGTTGCTGCAGGTTGTGAGTCAGAGTTCTGTTTTCAAACATGGCCTGGCATTGTCAGTTTGCATAGTCAGTCCCTTGGCTCTCTTTCTTCAACCAATGAGACATGAATACCATAAATCATTTCTCTTCAGCCCTCATCTCAGCCCCTAAGATGTAAATAGATCAACTCTTCAGATTTTTAATAATTAATAAAAGTGATGGAGATTAGAAAATGATAAAAGGAAGGTTTCTCCATTCTCATTCCTTTCTGTCACTCTTTACCACCTACCCTGCTTTATTTTTCTTTATCTTCAGAGCACTTGCCACCATATGACATATTATACATGTCTTTGTTTCTGTTAATATGCCTCTCTACCACACCCACCAAGAGAATTTAAGCTCCTGAAAGCAAGACCTTTATCGGTTTTTATGTTTGCTTGCTTGTTTGGTTTTAGTTGTTGTTTGTTGTTTGATTTTTTTGGTTTGGTTTTTGGTTTGGTATAGCCTTAGTGCACAGAACAGTGCCTGACACATAGGAACTTTATAAGGATTTGTTGTTCTAGCGAATGAATCAAAGCCATTTAAAATAGATTCAAAATGGCAAATATCTCCATGTTAGAAATACATTATTGGGCCGGCCCCGTGGCACACTCGGGAGACTGCAGTGCTTGGGAGTGCAGCAGCGCTCCCGCCGCGGGTTCGGATCGTATATAGGGATGGCCGGTGCGCTCACCAGCTGAGTGTGGTGTGGGCAACACCAAGCCAAGGGTTGCAATCCCCTTACCGGTCATGAAAAAAGACAAAAAAAAGAAATACGTTATTAAGCAAGACCTATGAAATTCCCAGAATTGTCAGTTAAAATATGTATCTGCTCCCCAAACATATTTGAAGTACCAATCCATTATGGAAATTCCTTTAGTTCTACCGTCTTAGACCAGGAGCACCATTGACGTGAACTTTTCTGGCAGTTCACACGGGTATGTTTTTATGTTTTCACAAATAACCCTTTTATACAAGATTAGCATTTAATAGATACTTAAAAGTCAGGGTCCCACTCCAAAATTATGACCAGCATCATTGGATGCAGAATTATGTAAGCCGAATACCAGATAAATGTAATTGTTATTGTTGATAGTGTTTATGAAATTGAAATTCCTGGTCAAACCATATTAGTACTGAGGTGAGAGTCAATAAACTGAAATTGCTTTTCTCTATACAGGATGCTGCCAATAATGGGCGCAGCAAAGGTGTGTCAGCTCAGTGCCTGTTTGACTTGCTGCAGTCCCTGGAGGGAGAGACCACTGACATATTAGACATCTTAGAGCTAGTCAAAGCTGAGAAGCCTCTTAAGTCATTAGGTAAAAGCAAAATTTCCCTTGACATTCTTTTTTCTCATTGTAATTGTTAAAAAATATATATAGCAAGAATAAATGGAACACTGGTGTAAATGGAATAAGTTCATTTTTCTATCTTCTGTTTTTCTTAAATGTCTTGTGGCTCCTAAAGAGTAACAAAATCTCTGCCACGAAAATTATATTAAAATTGATGCTCAGTGGGCCAGTGCTCTAGCACTACAGTTTTCAGTAAGTTAGTTTTTCTTGACTGCCCCCAAAATGGTCTCTTATTATCATGGAATGTGTAGAACTGGAGGTGACTCAAAAATAAAGCTTCATGTTTTACCTTAGACCAGTCAAATGCCATTCAACATTTTCTATTAGGTGAAATTTAAACAACTGTTACCCCAAAAGCACCTTATTTTTCATCCAGTTATTCAAAAGTAGAAAACAGAATTTCATTCCCTTTTGATGAAGAAATTGTTAGTTTTTACAGTTGAGGAATAAAGTCTAACAAAGAAAAGGCTACAAGATATAACCAGAAAGGTAATGCTGGGAGTGATAAGTTCTTCTTAATCCCCAACAGAATTCACTCTGATTGTGTGCCTTGACGTTTTGTCCCTTCAGATTTCTGCTATGGAAATGAAGATCTGACATTCTCTATTAGTGAAGCCATTAAGCTCTGTGTTACTGTGGTGGCATATGCTCCTGAATCATTCAGAAGGTACTGCACACTTTATTCTGTGCTTTGTGATAAGTAAATATGGCAAAGGAAATAAAATTGAATGAATAGAAAAGTTACGTTTGGTAATATCAGTCTGTAACATTCTGGCAAGTAAGTTTTCAAAAACTAAGCTTAGGAAAGTTGTCATAGCAAAGTCTGGAAAATATGGTAAATATTCATTCATTTGCAATGCCCTAATTTGGAATTTGTCCAGAGGCTAAAATGTTCAATCTTGTTAGAAAATATTTTTCTCACATGTAATACAAATTAGTTGCAAACAAAATTTCACAACAGATATTTAAACTATTTAAGAAACCTCCTTTTAAGGGGCAGTAAAAATTCCTGTCACACAAAGGGCAAGAATGTTTGCCTTTCATTTTGGCAAGTGCAGGGACTCCAAAGGACTCCCATGGAGAGTGAGTCATCCTAATTGCAGGTTGTTGACTCTGGTCTGATATATAAGTCTCATCTCTCTATTTAAAGAGTCCTATTCTGTTGGTAAGCTCTTCCAGGAAGAAGGAAGGAGCCAAGCTGATTTTGCCCAGGATATCTTTATGCATTTGCTCCTCAGATAAGTCTTTTCCTCTCCCCCAGATCAGAACAAATAAAGGGCCAAGAGGGGACAGGATTTATATTAACTGAACTCTCTTTGCAAGAAGGAAACATGAGAAATGAGTAAGAAATATTCCCTCCTAACATTTCCAGCTTTATGCCTGTGGTCAACCAGAGGTGTGTGACTGTGGCCCCAGGAGAGAAAATCTGCAGTCCTGCTCTCACTTTTCGGCTCCTCCTACAGTATCACAGCTCCAGAAAAGTTTTCAGAACGGATCAAAATCCTGCATTAAGTTACTCCAAGCCCACTTCATACCTGAATGTTAAAATTTACTCCTTACTCTATTTTTCATTCCAAATGTCCAGCTATGTTGTTAATAGGATTTATCAGAGATTCTAATTGAGATTAAGTGACAACATTAAGACACTGCAATAATAAAATGTAAAAGGATTCTTCAATATTAAAATGCCAGCAACATAGAAAATCCCAAAGCTTCACTTAAAAATCTCCCATTACCAAATTCCTCATAAAATGTAAAATCTTCTTTCAAGTTAAAATTCAAACACACTGAAATCAAAAAGACTTAAGAGTTCGCAATCAAATTCCCTTGCTATTGTGAGTTAAAGGCCAAAATCCAATATTGTTAAGTTAAATTAAAACATTTCTTTAAATCCTCTTTAATTTCCCATCTGTTCAGTTTAAACCACAGGGCTTCTTAATGCCTGGATGGAGTCAGGGTTTTATAAGCAGCTGCTCCCTGGGATATCTCTTATGGAAATAAGTAGAATTCTTACAGGAATTCACCATTTATAACACCAAGTCCCTGTTATGCTTAAATTCTTTCTTAAATAAATGTGTTTTATTTAAGTATAACATTCAGGTAAAAGAGTTTAAAAATCATAATTTTACAGTTTCACGAATGCTCATAAAGTTATCACATCTGTGTAACTACCACTGAGATTAAAAAAAAAAAAATCAGATGGCGACAGAAGCTGTGTGAGAATGAAAGAAAAAAAAAAACCAGAAAGAGGCACCACTCTCCTGATTTCTAACACAATAAATCAAATTCTATTTCTGAACTCTATTTAAATGAAATAATACAGCAGGTACTTTTTAATGTCTGACTTCTGTTATTCAATATTATTTCATGAGATTCATCCATGTAATTGTGTGCAGTAGTTTGTTCTTTCTCATTCATCTGTACCATTCTATTGTACGACTATGCCACAGTTTATTTATTTCTTCTCTTCTCGATAGACATTTCTACTGTATCCAGTTTGAAGCTATTACAAATAATGCTGCAATGAATGTTATTGTATATGTCTTTCTGCAAACATATGTATGCATTTCTGTGGGTGGGATGCTATGCTGGGTATGGAACATTTGTTTTACTTTAGTAGATACTACTGAAAAGTTTTCCAAAGTTGATCTATTTTCACTCCCACCAGCAGTACGTAACTTCTAGGACTCTGTAGCCTCACCAACACTTGGTACTGTCAGTCTTTTCATTTTAGCTATTTTGTTGGGTTGTAGTGATACCTCATTCTTGTTTTAATTTCCATTTCCCTGGTGCAATCAAAAAGTCTGAAAGCCTTTCAGATGTTTATTGGAATTTGGATACCTACTTTTGCAAAGTGCCTATTAAAATCTTTTGCCCATTTTTAAATGATATTATTAGTATGTTTTATTTGATATGTAGGATTTGTTTAAACAGTTTGGATGTAAGTAATTTTTGGCTTATATTCAACAACAAGCTCTCTAGGAGGAAGGGGGCTCTAATAGGTAGCATTTGCCAATTTCCACAGTGTTAATACTCCTGCCAAGGCTGGGTAGAAGATACCAGTGTGACATCACTGAACACAACTGGGAAGAGATGTTCACAATAGGCTTTCTGGACCCATTGTGTGCCCACTCCAGCACACCACTGGTTATCTATATTTTGAACATCTCTTATTCTGTGACCTACAATTTTACTCATCCAACGTTTCTTTTGATGAACAGAGTTCTTTATTTTAATGTAGTCCACTGTATCAATCTTTTCCTTACTGTTTAGTGCTTTCTGTGTCCTCTTAAGAAATCTTGATTAACACAAGGTTATGAATCTATCCCCTTATATTACCTTCTAGATGCTTTATTGATTTTACTTTTACATTTAGAATAACAATTCATCCGGAATTGATTTTTGGCATGGTGTAAAGTGATGGTCAGGATTTATTTTTCCCCATGTTGTCTTCATCCATTTGTGTTGTATCAATACCTGAGACTGGATAATTTATAAAGAATAAAAATTTATTTCTCACAGTTCTGGGGACTCAGAAGTCCAAGATCAAGGCACTGACATCTTGTGAGGCCCTTCTCATTGCATGCTCATATGAAAGGTGAAAAGGTGAAAGGTGGAAGGGCAAGAGAGAGCCAACTCCCTCCCTCAGGCCATTTTATAAGGACACCTAATCCCATTTGCAAGGGAGTGGCCCTCATGGCTTAATCACCTCTTAAAGTCCCCACCTCTTAATACTGTCATATTGGCAACACCTGAATTTGGGAGAGGACACATTTAAACCATGGCACATATGGATATCCAATAGACAATAGAACCAGCACCATTTATGGAAAAGACTAACGTTTTCCCCATGAAATGCAGTGTTATAAATCAATTTTTTTGTTATAAATCAATTACCTGTATATTTGTTTCTCGACTCCTTATTCACTTCCATATGTTTATTTTTCTGTCCTTGCACAAATATTATACTTTCTTAATTATTATAGCTTTATAATAAGCCTTATCTCTGGTAGTATAAGTGTACCAACTTTGTTTTTCTTCAGGATTTCCTTCATTATAACTAGCCCTATAACTTCCCATTTAAATCTTAGAAACCACTTGTTAATATCCACAAAAAATACGTTGAGATTTTTAGTTAGAATTGCATTGAACCTATATATCAGTTTGGGTACAACTGACATATTTATAATATTAAATGTTCTAAATTATGAACATGATATATCCCTTTATTTTTTAGATCTTTTTAAATTTTCTCAGTTAATTTTTAAAACTTATTTACTAGTTATTTTGTTATTGGTATTAAAAACATAATTGACTTTGTGTTAATAACTTTGATAAATATTAATTAGCATTAGTATTATTTCTATAACTGTAGATCTCTTAGTGTTTTCTATTTAATCATGTCATCTGCAAGTCATGACAATTGTGTTTCATTCTTTCTAATCCTTATACCTGTTTTTCCTTTCTCTGGCCTTAATGCACTGGCTAAACCCTTTAATACAAAACTAAATACAACTGATGTTGTCTTGTCTCATTTCTGATCTCAAAGCAGGGGGGTATATTTCCAATATTTTATCACTAAGAATAATATTTGCTGTAGGATTTTGTTGTAATGCACTTTATAAGATTAAGGAAGTCCACTTCTATTCTTAGTTTACTATGAGTTTTCTTATGAATAAATGATGAATGTTACCAAATATTCTGTATCTATAGAGATGATTATATGTTTTTATCCTTTATTTTCTAAGTGTGATAAGTTACACTGATTTATTTTCAAAATTCAAACTTCCTTCCCTCCCTGAAAATAAACCCAAATTGGGATGTATATTGTATATTTTCCTTTTTCCAGTGTTGCTGGATTTTGGTTTGCTAACTTATTTTAGCATTTTTGCAGCTGCGTTAGAGAAATTTGTCTGTAATTTCTACTCTTTAAAAAAAAATCTTATCTAATGGGTTTTATTACTAAGACAGGGAAGTTAGGAGTACAAGAGTTATTCTAGGCAGCTCCATGTCATTCGAGCTAAACCAATTCTTACGTGCAAAAGTATGCATATGTATTTTAGGATATACAATTTCTCCTGATCTACAAGTCTATGTTGGAAATTTTTTTAACAATTTAAAGAAAATATCCCATTGTGTACTAACTTCCGTCATATCTGTTGAAAAGTTAGCATTAGGTCTTATTGCTCATTTAAATTTAATGTGTTTTTCTTTCCAGCTAATTGAACATTTTCTCCTTTTCTTGGGTTTTTAGTAAGTTGATTATGAAATGCCTAGTGTGATTTTCTTTGTATTTATACTTTCTGTGATTCATAGTGCTTCTTGAATATAAAGGTTGATAGCTTTCAAGAATTCTTGAAACTTTACTAGTAACTCTTTAGATATTATTTCTATCCCATTTTTTCTCTCCTCTCATTTTAGGACTTGATATGAAATGGATATATATACATATACACATACAGATACATATGTGTGTGTGTATATATATATATATGTATATATATCTCCTTTACACCATGCCATATATGTCTCATTCTCTTTTTTGCATTTTCCTTATTTTCTATTATTTTCCCCTGTCCTTCTGGATATTTTCTTCTGAACTTCTTCCCAGTTCACAGTCATCTCTTCTCTATGTCTAATCCACTGTTAAACTCATCTCTCAAGTTTTTATTTTTTTATTTTTACTGTTTCATTGAAACATAATGAAATTTTAATTTTAAAAATTTTAGTGTTTGGTTTAAAAATTCCCAGTTGATTCTTTAATAGATTTTAGAATTTTGATGAAATTCCCCATTTTGTCATCTGTCTTATTCAACATTTTAATCATAGTTTAAAAAAAGAAAAAGTCTGTGTCTATAACATCAATATCTAGAGCACTTGTGGCTCTGTTCCTATTATCTGTTCTTTTCCTTAGATTTTGATCATTTGGTTATGGCAGGACTGGTAAATTTCAAATAGTGAATATTGCATTTAAAAGAAAGAAAAAGTGGAAATACTTTGAGGGTCTGACTTATGTCATCTTCCTCCAGGAAAGATTTATTTTTTATTGTCTAACAAGCAATTGGGGTAGGGCAGATCATATTAATTCAGTCTGTGATTTGTTTGATTTGGAGTTGGGTTTCAGTCTTCCTAAGGGCTGTTCTAATTCTTTTACACTCCTAAAATATGGACCTAACTCCTCCTTAGAAGGCTCTTAACTCCAGTATATATTACTCACCTGCATGAGGCTGCTAAAAATTCTTCTTAGCTTCACAGATCCTAGCTGACACTTCTGCTTGGATTTGTCGTTAGCCTCTTGGCCCTACACAAGTTTACAAATTGGCAAACACCTGGAGAACAAAAAATGCTGCATGTCTGGATGAACCGAATAAGCTTCTTTTTCTCCAGATCCCTCCAAAAGATACCTGGCGGCCTTAGTTTTTGTCTGGTACCTTCAATAATTTTCTTTTTCAATTTTGTCCAGTCTTTCTAGTAAGACAATTCATCTTTGACAAGGTACTTAATTATTACAGAAAGCAGAACTGGCTTCCTGCTTCACTTTTTAAGTTGCCAAAGAAGTCAAGGGACTCAAGAGTATTATTGTACCTCTGTCTCCATACCTATCAAATTCTGAAAATTGCCATTTCCTGCCTTTAGAGAAATTATTTTAGTTTATACTTATTTACTTATTTTAGGCAAAATTATGTTACCAGAAACCAGTACTCAGATTGATTAAGACCATAGCAGAAACTCACTGGTATCTGCAGGAAAGAGAATGGATAAAAAAAAATCTTGGTTTCTGGTTCTCCAGGATATCAATCAATAAGTATTGTTTCTAGAACCCATAACTTACAAAATTAAACTCAGTTTGGGGAATCTCCCAACAGAAGACTTACGTCGCAGTTATGCATTTACAGTTTTAAAGAGAAAAATCCACCTTGCGTAATAACCACTTGGTTTCCATCTCCCCTTTAAGAGGACATTTCTGACACACCAATGCTAAACTGAGTATGGGCCCCACCCATTGAGTGAGCAGGCATTGTCAGAGCTCATAATCATAGCTGTTTCCACAGACTCTTGCTATATAATTGATAAGCTTTAGGAAGCCAGCCTCCTAGGAAAGGGCTTTATGCTGTCTCAAAAATTTTTTTTCACTGCGAAATTCCTCTCACCAAATTCCTAAACAGAAGCTCTGTTGATGATTCTGAAGCCTGTGTCTTTAGATGGAGTGTATAGCTCAACCTATAATCATTCTGTTGTTCTTTCAACCATCTGTATATATGGCTAATACTTCCTACTAGATCACATGCAGGATTCATTACCTTCTAGCAAGTGCTTAATTAATTAATTAATATTGGTCAACATCTCCAGCGGCTTTAACTACTCTTGATTTGGGTGAGGTGGGAAGGGGTCTTAGAATTCATCATGTCTCTAGAAGCTTTTCATTTTTCCATGCCCCTAAATATGACACAACCAGCAGAAATAAAATGGAAAATGTAACTTGGAGTTCTTTCTGTTGCTTAAAGTCTTCAGATGCTGATGGTCTTGGAAGCTTTAGTTCCGTGTTACCTACAAAAGCTAAAGAGGCAGACGTCACAGGTGGAGACTGTACCAGCTGCCCGAGAGGAGATTGCTGCCACAGCTGCTCTTGCAACATCCCTACAGGCCCTTTTATACAGTGTGGAGGTCCTCACCAGGTAATCCCATTGGCAGAAATAGCCACAGTCTTAAATCATATGTATCCACTGAACAGATGAAGATAAAGTGTGGTGACTAAAAATCTCGAACTCTCAGTCTTTATTTAAAGATACCTGGCCAAATTCAGCCCATTATGGCTTCTAACTACAAACAGTCCTTAAGTTATTTGGCTATATGGTGCTAAGTACTCTGAATAGTAGTAGTAATAGTAGAAGAAATAATACTAATAATATTCCTACCATAATTACTAAAAACACATTTGCCTATAGCTTACTGGGCTTCTGTGGGAGTTTTAACCCAATGGTAAACAAATCTTTTGTAAAAGGGCCAATTTAGTGAATATAAAGATGTGATCCACATTTTTATTAGCTATTATAGTATTTTATGAGACATGAAATGTCTGCATTTCCAACTAAGCATTCTTTTATTATTTTACTGTTTGTAAAGAGTTGTGTTTTTTTACTATAATTTTAGAAACTACATAACAAATATAAACTGCAGCATGTTATTCTAATGCTAGAATTAATAGATTCTCTGTGGGACATGACTAAATAATGCCGGGAGAGAGGGCTGAGAGATTTGGGAATGGAAAGAGAAATTGGCACCACAGTTTGGCCCTAAACTGAGTTTAAATTAGTCTTTTTCCAAGATTCTCCAAAGCAGAAGCAGAAGGAATTGAGCTGCTATGTGGCAGGGAAAGGACAGATGGGGCTCTGGGTGGGGTAAAAGGTAGCATGGGGGTGGAGAAGGTGGATCCAGGACACTGTGCGTAGGATTGGCTCTTCCTCTCCATTCCCATCTGAATTACCTGGAAGGGGATATTCTTCCCCAGGGTGAAGATGGAGAAGCCTTCTTTCTGGGTTTGTGTCTTTGCTTCTCCACTCCATTCTGCTATGCTGTGTGTCCAAAGTGCCCCATCCTTAGCCCAAAATTCTGTCTGTGGTTTAGTTCCCACCAAAAGGCACCAACCTCACCAGCGCCATCTTGCTGTGTTGGTAAGAGGGCCAGCTGACGGCCTTTAGTCCAGGGAGGACTTTTTCAGCATGCATCAGCAAGTGAGAGAGTGAGTGGGACTGTTACTCACTAACTGCAATACATGCTTAGTTTCTAATCATGAGCTACATTGCCAACCTAGCCAAGCAGAATATAACCCAAAGCCTTGGGTACACTATCACCCTGAAACCCTCACCTGCACGTAAATGGAGGAAACAAGAAGAGGTGGCACATAGAGCCACGAACAATTTTCTCTTCCAACAGGAAATAGTCTCGATGCTTTGCTGATGGTTTTGTGGAAGTCCTGGGAAAAAGATCATCCTGAAGAGAAATTTATGACTTACATTCTTCCTTCTGTACCCATGTGGTTACATCACTAGCCCCTTCCTAAAACTACAGGAGAGAAAAGCAGTCAATTTTCCCCAAGTGCCACTTTAATTATTTCTCTTCTTATTATATAATGTTGATGATTTCCTCCTCCTTTCTATTCCCATTTATAAGGATAAGTCAATTAACTTATCCAAAATTGACTTACCCAAAATTCCTCAAAGAGTTTGGATGGAGCACCGACATTTGAAATTCTGTGGCTTTGAATATTTGAGTGCATTTAATACTCTTTTGGTGGAGCAGAAGACTAGCTTCACTGGTTGGTAGTAGTTACCCACAAGAAAATTGGCTTTATTATTTTTACAAAAGAAGATAAGAATCCCCTTTCACTTCCACACTCCTAATTTCTTTATGTGATAAAAAAAAGCAATTTAAGTTATATAGGTAGTATTACATAAGTGAGTACATTACAAGTGTTTTAATTTTCTATTGTTGTATAACACATGACCACAAACTTAGAGGCTTAAAATGAAACCCATCTCACAGTTCTGTAGGCCAGAAGTCCGGGCAGGTTCAGCTGGGTTTTTTGCTCAGGGTTTCTCAAGGCAGAAATCAGTGTGTCGGTCAGTCTGAGCTCTTATCTGAAGTTACTGGGGAAGAATCCACTTCCAACTCAGTCGGGTTTTCAGCAGAATCAGTTCCGTGCAGCTTTAGGTCCAAGGCCCCATTTCCTTGCTGGCTGTGAGCAAGGTGCCACTCCCTGTGTCTAGAAGGCACCTGCGTTCCTCCTCACATGGTTCCTTCCATCTGCCAGCCAGCAATAGTTCCTTGAATCCTTCTCATGCTTCAAATCTCTTGCCTCCGGCCAGAGAGAACCCTCTGCTTTTAAAGGGCTGGTGTGGTTAGATTAGGCCTACCCAGATCATCTCTCTTTTTGCCATGTAATGTAACATAATAACTGGAGTAACATCGGGGAGCAAAGGTCTTGGGGCCATCTTTAAATTCTGTTTACCACCACAAGGCATGAGAAAAGAAAATCTGGTGTAACTGTTCAGAGCTTAATTACTTTCTAGCTATACCCAGCATACAGAAAATGAGCAAAACAGAAGCAAGCCTGAAAGAGGAATTGCTTAAAATAACAACATTGTCCTTTCTATGTCTCAGATGCCAATGCAGAGGCAAATTTTACCTAATATTTAAAGTAAACCCTGCACATATAATATGAGATGATTCAAGTGTATTATCAAACATCTAAATTACTGAGTTACAATAGAAACAAATTTGCTCACTTTCTTGGATACCCTTAGGTGTAATTTTTACTAGGAGAATTATTTCATCCTTTGATAATTTCTCAGAAAAATAGAGTGGTTGATTATGATGTAGGTGGCCGAAGTGGTATGTACAACAGTGCTTCTTGTTGTCTAGAATGGCTAACTGCCTGGTGCCTGTAGAGTTGAAGAATGAACTCTTAACTCTCATTTAATCAGTGCAGACTTAGAAGTTTGATTTCATAAACATCTTGTTTGAAGAGTCATAGTTTATTACTCACAATGCAGAAATGGAAAAATTTAAATCATGGTGAGTTTATATCCCCTTGGGAATCAATGTTCCCTTTAAAGATTCTCTCAGAAGGGACAGAGAATGTGTGACAGAAAAGCCCTAAGCTAGACAGCCTATTTTTTTAAAGACTCTAAAACTAACTTGAAACTTATGTGTGCTTCAGTAACTTGAGGATTTCATAAATGTTTCCACTTCTGTTGTTTTTTTGTTGTGGTGATTACTGTCATTGTTATAGGCCCATGACTGCCCCACAGATGAGCAGGTGTGACCAAGGTCATAAGGGAACCACTACAGCCAATCATACCATGTCGTCTGGGGTAAACACCAGGTAATTCATTGCACCTTATTCTTCTATGGTCTCGTGATCTCATACAATCTGAATTTCAGCTGATGGGAATGAAAGGAATCTTGAAACTAGTCAATACTGAGTGTGAAAATCTCGAAAGAAAAGAAAAGAAGGTGAGAGTTTAGAGTTAGAAGAAAATACCAAGGCTTCTTTTGAAATTGTCAAAGAGAAATCCAAACCACCTTCATAAATTGGCACGTGTTGGTTTGTTTGCATGAGCATGCTAGAGCTCTGCCTGCTGGGTGGTCTTTGAACTATTCCAGTGTTACTTCATTGGCCTCCAACAAAAGGCAAGTGGAACAATAATAATCAGGAGGTGGTTTCTCATTCCCAGGGCAGTTATGCAGAGTCAACTCACTTTCATCTGGCCAGATTTTCTAAAGGCATTTTATCCAGACTTAAGTCCTCAAATAATGCATGGTTATTGACTTAATCTCCTTTCCTTGTTTTGGTGTAACTCAGACACTGGCTATACTAGTTAATACTCTGCCTGGTTCATTCTATCTGTGTTAACCTCTAAATACTCCAACACACAAAAAAATTTTAATTAACTTCCTCCTTCAAGGAAGATTTAATATGGGCCCAACCCAAAATCAGCTTAAGAGAAATTTCTCTTTTCCCAGTATGGAGTAGTTAGCAGGGAGATCATAAAGAGAAACTAAATAATTTTCCACTCTTTCCGAAACATATTTTTAAGTGTGCTTTGCTATTTATGTAAAATTAATTCCCTGCCCACCATATATATTCATATTAAAAATAAAACAAAAATACATTCCAAAACCAATTAAATTGCCTGGTGTGAAAAAATGATATAGTTTAAGTGATGTTTAGGGGCTTCTCTAGGCCCATTGGGTTAGATTCAACTACTAAATGAATGGTGCATGGAGAAAGAGGGTTCTAAAGTCTTATTATCAATCAGTTATAAAGCATTAGGTCTCTAGGACTGAAAGTCAGCCATGTTTCTTCCTGTGGTCACCTAAGACAGTTTTAAAACTATAACTTAAATTTCAAAGTTTTCAAGATTTTCTCATTTGACTACATTCCATGAGTTTAGTTTGCATTTTTATAATATTTGTCTTACACAAATTATATGGCAGTGAAACGGCTCTTATAGTAGCTATAATTGCAGCATATGTAGCAGCCAAATGAAAAATAAAACTTTGATATATTTCAGGATTAACGTGTATATTTGTGAACCGATCAAAATGTATAGCTTCCAGGGCTTTTCATACAAGAAAGTCTGTAAGAAGCCCCAGCAAAGGGATCCTGTTCTTGCTAGGATAGTTATGCAGACTGTTTTTCTGACCCACAGGTACCAGGAACAAGGAGCCAAACTGCACTTCATCAGGTACAGACAGACTTCTGCTAATTTTATATCAGATCTGATACATTAAGATGATTGCCTTTTGAGCTGGGTTATGGTTCTGTTAGATTTCATTTCATTGAGGCATGACATACTATTTCTGTATAAATCCTCAGTAAGTGGCTAATGCAAAGCCATGAGAATTTGTAATGACAATCTCCTCTAGGCTGATAATTGATACATTAAGATGATTGCCTTTTGAGCTGGGTTATGGTTCTGTTAGATTTCATTTCATTGAGGCATGACATACTATTTCTGTATAAATCTTCAGTAAGTGGCTAATGCAAAGCCATGAGAATTTGTAATGACAATCTCCTCTAGGCTGATAAACTTTCTTTATTCTTCAGATGAGGTTCTCCTTGGCCTCACCCTCCTGATTCATTAACTCATTAGGGATCTTCTATTTTGTTTCAGTGTGATACCCTCCTCTCACAGTTGCCACATACATACCTTTTCAGACCCCAGGTAATCTTTTATAATTTCCCAGGGAAAACCTTCACTTACTGGAGGAAGGGCAAGGCCTTCCCCGAGAGGAACTAGATGAACGAATTGCACGAGAAGAGTTCAGAAGACCCCGGGAGTCCTTGCTGAATATTTGCACAGAATTCTACAAGCACTGTGGGCCAAGGCTGAAGATCTTGCAGAACCTGGCTGGGGAGCCACGGGTCACTGCCCTGGAGCTGCTGGATGTCAAGTCCCACATGAGGTACCGTCCTCACTTTCCCTGCCTTTGAGTGTGGACATAGCTTGGGCCATGTGTCTGCGTGTGTGTTTCACTGGAGGTGACGGGGAGTGGGTAGGGCCAGGATAAAAACTTCAAATACTTGGGATGCTTTGTTTCCTGTGACTTGGATACATATATTATAGAACCCTCTTGTAAAGTGTACATTAATTCCATCACAAAGAATCTCAGGGTGGACGGGGGAAAATGTTAAGACAGACAAGTCCATATATTTGCTCCTCAATAAAAGGAAGTGAAAGGAAAATTTCTTTACCTGAATTCTTAGAAAACTAGCTTACTTTCGAGTACTATTTACTGCCCAGATTATAATTTTTCTCAAGAATCCAATGTTTCCTCTCTATGATTTTCTGTTCAAAATGCACTACTATGTTCTGCTGGAGGACTCCTTCTGCCCCTTGACTACCTAAGGACTCAGTAATGAGCCCTGTGGGGAGGTGAGCAGTTTTAACTCTTAGCCATGCTTTGCTTGGGCCTGAAATCCCCTTTAGCCTTCCAACAGTTCAAAAAAGTGTCCTGGTAAAAATTCTGAACTGGATGAAGCCAGTCATCATTTAAATTTTTTTACTCCTGGTAGGCCAGAGAGAAGCCCCAGAATTACATCTCTTTGCACTCATATTTCTTTCTTCCTGTGGAGATGCCATCTCACTTGTTACTCATAATAAAGGCTGTACTTGTATTTTCAGCTTCTGAAAAGAAACATGAGTTCAGAGGATCTTCTGGTCAGATTTGTAACCATTTGTAAAGGGTCATAAATATTCCTTGAAAGAAAAATTTCACTGGTAACAGAATGTTCGCTTGGAAAGGTTAGTATATTTGTAAAGCTAAAGGTAGAGTTAGGTTCTACCCTAACATTGCAATTTGGCAAAACACATCAATTTCCTGAGTATTGGCCTTTTTTTCTTAAAAATGATCCTTTGAAAAAATTTGGGAAGTACTAAGTGAAGGAAAATGAGAGGCCAGAAGTGTACAGCGAACACAGGCTAATGTCATGTTCTCTTGAGTTGTGGGCACACACCCAGCAAGGTCTTGGAGAACTCCAGAGCTTTACATGGGTTCACACTCCCTACTGTGCAATAATGAAGAAGAGCTTATTTCATACTGAGAATTTAAGCTCCTAGCCAGGAGGCTTCAAAGAAAGCGGAGAGAGGTTTGGGTTGCTGAGGTCCAGTTGCCATGGCAACCCGGGTCTCTATCTGTTCCCTCCCCTTCCTTGTCTGCTGATCATCTCCAGCTGATCTAAGTAACTCTGTGAACACAGAAACATCACATTCCCAGAGTCAGAAAATCACTTTTTGTGAAAGAGGAAAAGATTACTTAATGCTGATCATCTCCAGCTGATCTAAGTAACTCTGTGAACAGAGAAACATCACATTCCCAGAGTCAGAAAATCACTTTTTGTGAAAGAGGAAAAGATTACTTA